TTCTTAATCCCATGTTTAGGGCCATTTTCGCATGCTAATTTTGCCCTATCTTCGCTTGCTGTTTGGCCATGTTTTGTACTAGTAAAATGCTTATTTTGAGGCTGCCTTGCTTCTGTCTTTTCATTCCATGTGCCAATTATGCATGCTTGGTATAGCTATAGGCCATTTCGGGTGCCTAATTTTGCATTTCGGGAGAAATTCCATGCATCGGGTGTGTTTTCACTTCATTTCGGGGCTGTTTTCCCCCATATTTCAGTGCCTAAACTCCATTAGCATGTTTGCATATCATTTTTGCCATATTGCATTGCATATGTCATTGCCTCGGTTTGCGTGCCTGTGTGCACGCATTTCGAGGCACTTCATTTTCACCCATCGGCCTCTTATGTGAGTGTGGCTGAGGCTCTCTCATGTTAGTGTAAGTGGTCTTCTCCAGGCACAGGCAAAATAAAGCTCAACATAGATGGTTGTGCAAAAGAGAATCCAAGACTAGGTGGTTTTGGTGTCCGGAGATAAAGCTGGAATGTGGGTTTGTAGCTACTATAAATAAATAAATAAACACAACTACAAATTTCACGAGAACAATATTTGTCGAGAGAAGTCTATCCTTGTAACCCTCATTTTCAAGTGATTAAGACAGAAAAAGAGAGATGATGGGGATACCTTTTTCAATTCAGCTTCAAGTTCATCTCTTTGTTTCTCGAGTCCTGAAACCTCAGTTGCTAATTCCTGGAAATTGACACGCAAACAACTTTCAAATTCACCTCAAAAATAATTGGGGCACCAAACAAATACATCTTGCATGCTTGAAGCAAGCATGGCTTCACCTCATGTATACCACAGAGTGCTAAAAGAGATTTTCCTAATATGTTTAATACCTCATCATATTGCACTTTTCTAGAGCCTTTGAGCCAGCAGTGTGGAGGACTTCCAACTTCTTCTGATTGATCTTATTCTTGCCACATCTCACCTATATGAGGTGAAATAGTAGCATAAATACAATACATAATTTTGAACAATGGATATCAAACAACACTAGGAAAAATGTAAAGACAGATTCTTAATTATGCCAGTGATATTGACTTGCAGAAAAGTCACCTAAAATAACCAAAAATAACCAAAATGGGGCACGTGATTCACTCACATGGTTCATGGACTTGGTTTGAGTGTAAAAGCTATGCTTGAATCTGTTTATTTCCGCTGTGTATTATTTATGTTTTTCCTACAAGAACAAAATCCAATTGGACATGAATCCTTGCCTTCTGCTAGTTATGGAATTCTTGGTTCCACTAAATTGTTTCAAAGTCAAGTGTCATTCACAGAGTTGCTTCAGGTAATATTTGAACATTTATTTATTAAGGAAACGCATAATCTCTTTTTTGGGGGTAATTCTCATATTGTCTTTTGGACATTATGCTTTGCAGAGTTCAATGGAACGCTCCAACAATTCACAAGAAAAAAGGTAATAAGCCAAGAAATCTAAGAACTAAGGATTTTAAGATATTGGCAGGCCCAATTTATTGTCCATGGTTTTTCAATTTTTGTTGATTGTAAAAATCTATTGAGTACATAATTAGTCTGGTGAGAACGGTAGGCATTGACCTTGTGTGCTGGGAGTTGTTTATTTCATGTGTGCAAGAGTGGCGTTGATATTTGTTGCACTTCATTTTGGTACTCTGCTCTTTATTTCATGTGTGCAAGAGTGACATTGATAAATTTTGTTTCCTAATAAAAAAATAAATAACAGTAAATAAGGTGGACCTCGAAAAAAGGATGAATGGTGCCAAGAAGTTTGTTTCCATACCTATTATAGCGAATTGTAAAGCAAACGTAAGAGACAGGGATCGTTGCAGTGTGTTAGAAGAAGAACGAGAACAAATAAGGTTGGAGATTGACAATTTTTTTTTTCTTTTTATTTTACACTCACTTAACACATTTTAATTACAAAAAATGTTTGAGATTCTTAAAAAAAGTCCTTCAACTTGACTTACAAGGTCTATAAGTTTAAACTCTACGTAACGCACAAATTGAGTTTTAATTTTATTACTCTTTGTTAATGAACACGTAATTTTAACTATTGCATTGTAATTGTTTGGACACCATCATCCACAATTATTTCTTCCTAAAGATATATGGAGTTGAAAATTTTTATACATATTTTGAGAATGAGATTAAAAGTTAATTTTTTGAATTTTTTTTTTGAAAACTATAAAGAGGTAATATGATTAAAAAAAATCAAAAAAATCAAAAAACTGACTTTTAATCATGCTCTACCAAACTAGACAGTCATGATAGTTCAAAGGTCTTAATCTATGAATTCATTTTATTTTTTATTTTTAATATAAAGATCTTGTTGTTAAAGAAATTGATGCCTTAGACAAAGTTTTTTATTATTGAGAAAAGTCAGGTGGGGATTAGTTTTTATTTTTATTTTTATAACTTTAGTGACATTTTTTTATTTACATTCTAGAATAAAAAAATCTAAAAGTAGTAGTAGTAATAATAATAATAATGTTAATATATATATGGCATATATTCCCAAATATATTAGGTATTGATATATATATGGCATAGATTCCTAAATATATTAACAAATAATAATCAAAGGAAAAAATTATATGAAAAAAATGGCTTTTTTGTCAAATGTGCCTTTTGTATTTGATAATGACGGCAATAAAAGCCAAGAAACTTTTTTCATCTCTACATCTCTGTCTTTTTTCCCAAGAAACAAACAAACAATGGATCAGAAAGTTCTTCAATCAGAAACCCAAAACAATCACAAACCCAACAACTCTCTCATATGGGATTGTGGAAGCTCACTCTACGACTTTTTCGAGCACAAATCCTTCGATCGCCAACTTCACCACCACCCACCACCACATCCGCCGCCGCAACAACCACCACAACCCATCTCCAAAAAATTCCTCAAAATTTTCTCTCTCGTTTCACAAACTTTTTCGATCCATTTTCGGCCCCAAACAAGCGAAAGCAGGATCGCAAGACCCATTTTTTTACTGTTTTTGACGGGTCGGGCCCACTTTTGACCATTCCAGAAGTGCCAGAGAGTGGCAGCGACGGCGGGATTTCGCTGGAGTTTAAGTCGGTGGCAGTGACAGTGGCAGCGGTGATAAGAAAGTCAACCTCAGAGCGGTTCACCGCCACCACTTCTATCGGTATTTCATGTGCTTGAAAGACCTAAAAGAAAAAAACTTTATATTATTGTGTTCATATAGTGTGTTTCTAATTATTTGTGTGTTTTAGAATGTTGTTAATTATTATTTAATGAGTTTTAGTTGATTATAATAGTTTTCAACTTTGGTTTGTGATGTTAATGTACATTGTATAATTTACCATCACCTACCACACACTTACCATCACCTACCACACACTCACCTACTACACTCACCTACCACCACCATCCACTACACCTACATCTATATAAGGAACCATTTGTAATATACAGAATATCAACACACAATCAATCAATAATACATAAATTCATACATAAATTCTTACATGGTATCAGAGCGGGTTTAGAACCTAATATTTTCGCTTCACCGGCGGGCGGCAACCTCACCTTAGCCGTCCGCCGGACCTCAACCTAACCCGCCAGACAATTGTACGCATACCTTAAAATTTCTTCGAGTACTACCACCACTGTTGACCTTAACCCGTCGCTGCAGTCCCTTCACTCTGATCAACGGCTGGACACACACACTACCGGCACCATCGCAGCCACCTTCGGCATGGCCAACCTCATCGTCCGACACCTTCCCTTCACCATCTCCAGCAAAGAGATGTACGCTATCTTCGGCAAGTGCGGCGCCATTCGCTAGATTCGCATCGGCACCAACAAGGACACCAGCGGCCCCGCCTTCGTCGTCTACGAGGACATCTACGATGCCACGACAGCCGACGATCATCTCTCTAGCTTCATTGTCGTCAATCGATACCTCATCGTGCTCTACTATCAACAGGCCAAGATGGGCAAGACGTTCAATCTCTTGGCTCAGGGTAGTTTGGTGGAAGTTGAGAAGAAGAAACCCTTACCATATGGTGCGCCTGCTACACTGGAGCGGGAGTGGCCAGGCTTGGCTGAGACTCGATTCCAAACAACCATCGCTGCTCTCTGGGCACCATACGATTTGTACGGACATTCAACTTCAAATTGCCCCACGGGACTCCTCGCCGGCGATTTGTACTCTATTCTATTATTCCTGCTTTTGAAAATAAAACAAAAGGAAATGAGTGAGTTGGTTGAGGTGGACACCCTTGTTCTGTGGATAGCCTCAGGCACTCTCTCTCTCTCCACTCAAGGACACCCACTAGCCTCACCCACTACTTTGTCACTTTTCCAACCTATCTTCTGTTACCTTTTGCACTCTCCTGACCGATTCCCTCATCCCAAACGCTTTCTACCTTAATATATTATTATTCTTATTCTTATTATTATTATTATTATTCTTAAAAAAAATAAATAAATAAATAAAATAAAAAAATAATAATAATTTCCAAACAACATTGCTGTTTTTCACCAATCCGTGTGATAAAGATTTACACACTAAACCTTACCTTATTTTATTCCTCTCAGGGATCAACCCCGATCACAGTTACAAAAAAAAAAAAAAAAAAAAAAAAAAAAAAAAACCACACAAGATCACCATCACAACACCAACAGATTTGTTTTCTTTTCTGCAGACGGCCACCCACCGACCTACTCTGCCGCTGGTCTCTTTTTCTTGCCTCCGTCCTGCGCGGCCCTTGACGGTGTTGCCTCCGTGCTTCCTAGACCACCAAGCAAGTTGCCTCCTACCTGCTCCTCCACTGCCGCATATGGCGGACCTCCGAATCGGAACATCACGGTGGCCTTCCGCTTCAGCTCCTTGTTTTCTGCCTTTAGCACACTTATCTCTGCTCGCGCATCCTTATACATGCGTTGGAGCAGAGCCAGCTGGGAGTTTAACTGCTGCACCTCATTTGTCCTACTCTGCAGCCGGAAGGACAGTCATGGTTTCCACACATGACTTCAGAGTATACTGATTGGCCTCAATATCAGTTTGCACCGCCATTTTTTGCTCCACCGACCGCATCGGAAAGTTCAAAGGAGCAAACCCAGAAGTGTTTGGTTGGGGTTCACTGGCCACCGCACCAGTTATTTCTCTTGTGGACTCGTTCAGTTCTGGAAAGAGCGTAAGCAGACCACGGGAAGATGAGGCCATGTTCTGGGTAGCTGAACGGGAAGACGAGGCCATGTTATGGTTGCTGAGTGTTTTAGAGATGGGTTGGTTACAGAGTGTTTACAGAGTGTTACCAGTGTATCTCTCTCAGCCCACGAAGAGTTTTTCAGAGGTTTCAGACTGGTTTGATTTCCACATGTTCTCTCAACCTCCGCCTTCATTTATATAGCACATGACGAAGAGGCCGACACGCGCACTGTCGATCACGTGCATCGCCGCGTGTCTGGCGCGCCTT